GCCTCTTTCTCTCTAGCCTTTGGTATTACTGTACCTATCTACACTTTATAACAGGAGGTACTAGCTGTTGTTGTTGTAGATAATACTAAAGTTTAACAACATCCAAGAAGGTCACAGTTAGCTACACACGTACATCCCATAAGTCCGTGAGATTTCATAGGCCTACCGTAGGTAAACATAGAAAGAGCAATACAGTACTGTAATAGTAAAACTCGAGCNNAAACTCGAGCGTCACGACATTGCGAAGTGTCTGATCTTGTTCCTCGTATCGTACTCACTCGAGTCAATCCGAGATGTCCCGAGTGAAGTTTTATGCAAATGTTTCGTACGGAAAAAAAAATCGCAGCCCGCCGATGCATGACTCACAGGTGCTCAAGTGATGGCGGTGTCTAGCTAAGCAGTTAAAAGAAGGGAAAAAAACACAAAAAAAGTGGTAAAAAGTAAACTAGAACAAATATCACAGGCATGGGGGTCGGGATTAAAGTCAGAAATTAAAATAAGGACAAGCTATTAATGAAAGGAATAAAGTAATACTATGGTAGATTATATTTCTTTATGAAATTTGAGTGGTTTAGAATATTTGAGGACAATCGTTGGAATCGGTGTATATAGAATTGGATAAATGCCTAAGTTCGGTAGGTTTAGCTAACACTATAAGGAGTATGATGTAAGTGTTCTATAGTAATGTTATGTTGTTATTAATGAATGGTACTTTTATATTCACTTTCAAATGGAGATGGGCAAACTGGGTTTCACAATTTTTGACTTAGTAGCTTGGTAGGCCTATAATTCGGTAAACTGGGTTTCGGCAAGAGGAGTCGGAAGTCTGGGATTCGGAAAAGGGTTTCGGCAATTTAGCCTTGATCCTCCTCATGGCCATCCATATATTCTTACCTTCCAACACGTCGAGGCATACCAAACGCTGGATACGATACGTCAGTCTTCAATCCTTGCTTAATTATCGTGTCGGTAAAGGAAACGTATGCACTGGATTTCACAACTCCGTACTTGGAAAACCATATTATAGAGCCATTGAATTCTTTCATCAAGTCAAGCGCAACCTGTCGACATTTGTATTTTCTTCGAGAAAGACACTTTGCTAAAAGTTTTGCTTTTTCACTGTTTAGTGTTGTCAGATTAGTCTTGACACCAACATCATCTTCGAAGCCAATTGTCGGCGCCATGTTGGATCTCATAACGAAGTCATGCGAGTCGATCTCTTTTCCACATCGACTGCCCAGCAGAATACCGGCACTTCCCAAAATTGCACATGTATTATAAAATCTTAAGAATTTTTTCGGCTTGTAGTTCTTTGGAAATTTTCTAGGAAATTTAATTTCTGTTTTATTACCAATAGGTTTTTCATAAATTAAAACTGTTCGGTTTGCCGAAAACCCATTCTCCAGTAATAATGCACTGAAAAAAAAGGGGGGAAAGAGGAACATGATTAGGAAATGTGTGTTGATTTAAACAATTTAATCATTCAACAAATACATATTATGTAAACACAAACATTATTTTTATTATTTAGTTACAACACAAATAGGCCTAGGTGTAAATCTGATATTAATTATATAATTGAGTATTATTTCTTGAAGGTTTGCATGGAGAAGAAATATGTTGAAGCTTGCAGTACACCACGTAAGTAGTTCTGAAAAGAACTGTTGTTGTTGTTGAGACTTTCATCATTAATATATAATTTTTATATCCCAATAACTTTGTTATTTTTCTTTCTTCCTGCTTTTTATTTTTGTTATATATTAATTAAAAATTAATAAAAAGCGAAAATCAATATATAATATTCATATAATTGATTCGTTTTTAGTAGTAGTAGTAGTAGTAGTAGTAGTAGTAGTAGTAGTAGTAGTAGTAGTAGTAGTAGTAGTAGTAGTAGTAGTAGTAGTAGTAGTAGTAGTAGTAGTAGTAGTAGTAGTAGTAGTAGTAGTAGTAGTAGTAGTAGTAGTAGTAGTAGTAGTAGTAGTAGTAGTAGTAGTAGTAGGTAGCGGCGGTAGCGGGCGGCGGTGGAGGCGGCGGCGGCGGTGACGGCGGCGGCGGCGGTGGCGGTGGCGGAAGCGGCAGCAGCGGTAGCGGCAGCAGCGGCGGCGGAAGCAGCAGCGGCAGCGGCAGCACCGGCAGCGGCAGCAGCGGCGGCAGCGGCAGCAGTAGTAGTAGCAGCGGCAGTAGTAGCAGCAGTAGCAGTAGCAGTAGCAGCAGCAGCAGCAGCAGCAGTAGTAGTAGTAGTTTGTTGTTGTTGTTGTTGTTTTTTAATATAATTACCTTAATTCCGAGACCTTCTGATTATCAATATGGTTTTCTAATAAGGTGTGAATGACCTTTAGCGGTGAAATATGCTGTGGACTATAATGAAATAAGATGAATCAGACGAAAAGTTAATGAGGAACGTTAGCTGGAAGTTGTACTCTTATTAGTAATGACACTTATTATTAGGCCGTGTTTATAGGTATGCATCCTTCTATATTTAGCCAATTTTTATTACATGCATTTTATTTATTTATTATTTTATACTGACTGTAGAACTGCATATTTTCATTTTTACTAACTATAATATTTTTAATTTAGCCTTTAGTTTCATTTTTTGTTTATAACTTTACAATATTTTATTAAAGACGATGTGGTAAAAGGCGATGTGACCTCTAAGTTTCGGAATATATTATAAGGATAAATCGCCGCCCTCTCCCACAGTCTCTCTCTCTCTTCCACTGTGTACTTAAACAGAAAGGGGGACGTTAAGGATAAAATCGTATACATTGAATATGTACACAACAGCGTAATGCTGAGGAAATGAACGTAGCATTGAAATGAAATTAGGCATAATCAAATAAAGGAGTATAATACGTCGATATGCTAATAATAATTATGACGAGAGCATTCAATACACCGCTCTTGATACTATCGATAAATTACAGTAATTATATTGCTTATCTACTTGAAAGTAGGACTAACAGAATGGTGTTTCAATTAATATGTCCACAAAAGAAAATGGGTTCTTTACATAATGAAAGATTCTTAACGACAGACCAATGAAGATAAGTTATTATACTCCTTGTAGAGACAAGAGTATGCCTATAGTTTCAGTTCCAGGTTAAAAATAAAAATGAATATAACTTAATACACTAACCCTAAAAATGCCTTAATGACCATAGTATAATTATATGTCACAACACATTTTGTTCGATAATTGGTAAGTCCTAACACAGTATGTTTTGTCCTATCTTGAAGAACATTGCCAGTATAATTGGCTCTTGAACAGAAATTATATTATATATATTAATCGTAATGACCATACCTAACCATCTAGTTTTATTGTAAGACCTGTAATCCTTTAAACCCGCACAACATTATATTTTGGATGAAGAATTGAAAGTGAAGAATAATGCGAAGCGATCGACATTGAAACGTCATCAACCATAAATGCACTAACAGAAACTGGTTCTTTTTCTTCCTTGTTTTATTCTGACCTATGGCTGTGAGGTCTGGAGCTTTCATACTGACACAATTGAATTATTCCATAGAAAATTTTTAAAACGTATATTGAAATTAAACAGAACAATGGCTAATTGCATGTTCTATGGCTATACTGAAACAGGTAGGAATTGCCTTGCTATTATCGTAAAACACGAATGTTAAATAATTGGAAGCATTTTTTAATTTTTTTTTCAGGGTAAAAGAAATAAACTTTCCTTCATATTATTTTAAAAATTACTTAGATTTCTCTCCGATTCTGGTAAATACAATTAAGCAGCCTGGATTACTATAATCAAAACGGTTTTTGATGAGTGCGGTTTGAGCAATCTCTGATTTGAGTAAGACAATTGTAATTAAAACATGGATTATTAACAGATGATATAGCAAGGCAAAAAAGGTCACATGAGATGAGTACAACTATATTGTGTCTTAATTATAAATTGTTTTAACAAATTTAATAAAACAAAACACGCCCGATAGAATTAACCTGGATATGGTTTCGGTTGTGGGAACCATTTCTGAGGGTCGATACTTACCGGAGGCTTGAAGCAAATGGTACACTTTGTGAAACAAAACACATAAAACAGTACTTTTATATTCGCCCGAATGTTTCAAAATATTATCAGTTATTTAAAAGTTGTAATATTCAAAAATTAGTCATGCTTGTTCATTTTGTTATTTTACAATTTTGTGTACTAATAGTTCATGTCAGAATCTTAATTCCTTTTTTTTTAAATTACATTTTAGTGCTACTGATCTAAAAATGTATGATCTAATATAATATTATTTAATATTATTATAACAATACTTAACCATTGATAAATCTAAAGATAGATTGCTGCTGTATCCTGGTTGCCGACATGCTGTTTGTTGGTCGATGCTAGTTAAGATAATGGCAGTGTCTATTTTACGCCAGTCTTTATAATGTAAGTGGATATATGTACGGTATCGATTCTGGTTAAATGTACGTTAATATCAGTTCAAATTTCAGCACTCAAAAATTAGCGTCAGCATTCATATGGTACTGTAGGCCTATATTCATAAATGTAACTTGCCAAAAAAGGGCCTTGGTCAATCAGTGCTGTGGTGAGCTTGGGCACTGCGGTTTGTGCGGACGTTTTTGCGAGTGCTGAAAGTTAAACTCACATTAACGTACATTTAACCAGAATCGATAAATTTAGTACGTGACCGATAATGCAAGTTTGACTGTGCATGCATTATCTATTTCACGTAAATATATCGTTTACTGATTTGTTTACGGTCACGTAAATATGTCCAATTCCCTTACACTTTTTTTTTATAAGAACACATCTTATAAGAACATTGAGGCAAAAATTGCTTAAAAATTAAGAACAAAATAAAAACAAATTGAGTAAAAATGTCCAATGAGATTTTTATTTCAAATACTAGAAAAAACAATAAAGTACATGTTCACCTTAAGTGCAGTTGGTGTCACGATCTAATACCCTCTATAATACAGTACAGTAGGTGTACCTACCTGTCATTTAGGGCCATTTTTACTTGGTGGCTTTTTTCTGGGGACATTTTTTCAGGGGCCATTTTTTCCAGGGCCACTCTTTTACCTACTGTACATTCCAGCACAGTGTATATACAGTAGGCCTACTTGTACAATAATAATTTTGTATAATTTGAAAAGTGTGTAACATAAGAACAAAATAAGAACATTTTGAACCTGAAATTGGCCTGGACAAAATTTTATTGGTTGTTTAAAAAAAAAGTGTAATACAATTCCTATTTCTACTTGAACGTTTGTATGGATTGGATTAGGACAATGTCATCCGACCAGTATTAAGAAATAGCCACTGCCTAAAATAACATTCGATTACTAACAAATAGGTATATACTTACGCTATTGTTCTGTTCGGCAATGTACTCGTTGTACTTTTGATAAGACTTCTAGTAATGTGAAGATCTAAGTGGGCCCACCCGTTTGCATTCAGTACACCGGTTGCGAATCCATACAACGATATGATTCCAAAAACACAAAAACAACTTAATAAAATAAAATATTCCAGTATGATAACTCTCATATTTGGCTTTTGTTTCTCCTTGCGTATCTTGAATAACTGAAACACATATAGACAAAACAAATCATAAGAAAAAGAAATGCATCTGTATATCTATATCCATTGTTATCCCGTCAGCCCGTGCATGGTGTTAGTGCACTCAACGCACACTCAAACAACACTTTACTACTCCAAACGTCTTCATGCTTGAATGCGTCGTTGGAATTATATGCACACTGTACATATCATGCCCACTTTTGTAGGTACATAACGCGCATTCGCACATAATGATAAAATTTAATTGCAGCAAAAATAGGCCTACC